TATATATTATCCAAATACTTAAATCTTGGGAAGGGTCGATCTGTAAAACCCTAAAAAGCTTTAATCGACGGAGGGGGCGGTTTCCAGGATAATTCAAGGTCTTATGTGTTCATCGCAATGCAGTTTGGGCAAATTCTTCTTCCTTTCCCTTCGCCTTGGATCACTCGATCGTCTCTTATCCCTTGCGCGCGAGCCGCCTTCGTCCACCGAGATCTTCTTGACGTCTTTTTCTTGGATGCGTAAACCTGTTTTGTTGCGCTTGTCTCCCTCCAGAAGCCTCCAATTTCTGATCCCCAGACCTTCACCTTTGATCTGATCGGCCCAATACTATATTGTGTGAGGAGGAAGAAGAGGAGAGAAAGAGAGAGAGAGAGAGAGAGAGAGAGAGAGAGAGAGAGAGAGAGAGAGAGAGAGAGGATGGTGGTGCGAGCGGTGATGAGGAGGAACGAGGTGTTGCGGGCGCACCTGGGGATGGCGCTAGTGCAGATGGCGTACGGCGGCTACCACGTGCTGACCAAGTCCGTGCTCAACGTTGGCATGAACGAGGTGGTCTTCTGTGTCTATCGCGACCTCGTCGCCATCTCCATCCTTGGTCCCTTCGCCTTCCTCCAACACCGCAGGTTTCTGATCTTTTCCTTCTTGTTTTTCTCAAAAGGAAAATACAATTACTTTTTTCTCTTGCATGCATGGCTCATTTCCCGTTTTGATAGTGCGAGTATTAATTTGTTGATTAAGAACGATATTTATGCTTGAGGGAGAAAAGGGAATTAATTGATACGTTGTATGAGAATCGTGTTGTGCAGAGGATAACATGAAAATTGGAACTTGGTTAGGAGGCCGGACAACTTTTCTTGGAAGAATGAATAAATGAGTAATTCAGATGCAAGAAAATAAATGATTGGGAAATTATGTGTTGTTGTTACCCCGGATCTAACAGCGTGGGTTTGTTCAGAGTGCAGATCATGAAAGAAAGCAATCATTTTCTTGGCTTGAAGATTGGTAAATAAATAGAGTACTGTTACAAGACATTTACCATCCAACCTTCGGATACAAAAGATGCAGTGGATGGGGTGAAACTTGAGATAAGGAAAATTGGAAAACGGCAGAGTAGAAAAACTTTGAGCAAAAGGTTTTATCTTGCAGATAAGATGGAAAGAAAGTCTCAGGGCTCACAATCCCATAGGAAGCACTTAGTTTCATTATTAGATCCTGATCTCCTCTTTGAACACTTGAAGCAATAGAATCTGCTATCTGATTACTTGATCTCAACTTTACTCTAGATTTATGGATGATCTGAAAATTACAAAGGCTTATGGCATTTTTTTTCTAGTTAGGGAAGGATTTTTAAGTGAATTCATTGATTTTTTGAACCATGCTACCCTGCCTAAAATGTTGGCAATAAGAAATCAAATTCTCTTAGTGCTTCAGAATAAACACATCTGTTGAGCAAAAATCATCAAAAAGAAGATTGGCTGATAATTTTATGGATGCAAGTAGAAAGGAGTATGATAGCTAGAAAAAGGGGAAACAGAAAAAGGAGAAGAATGGTAAAGGCATCCTTTGAGTTCGAGAAAATTGAGAAATTTTAACATCGATCAGCTAGAACAATTCTAAAGAATTTTCATGGATGAATGCAACTGTGAAATCTTGAGAAGGTGCAGTCTGCAAATGGTTCCATCAATTAAAGTTACACAAAGGTGCCCTTGTGATTTGGGAGACAAGATTGTTTTGAGTTTAGAACACAGAAGAAAAGGAAATCAAGTGGGTTTATATCCTTTTTTGTAGTCTCTTAATTTAGTAATTAAAGCTGAACTAGGTGATCCCCCTTTTGTTTCAACCCTATACATTTTAGCCACTGAGGTATGTCAATCTGGATCTTGATTTCTCCTGTAGCAACTGCAGGCCAGTGTCTAAGATGTTCCAGTTTGTTCATACTTTTCTTGGAAGAGCCTTATGGTTGTTTGGCCAGATTAAATTTGATAAATAGTTGTTAGTATGTTCAAAATAGCATGCCCATATATGGACTACTTGTTGTTTTTATTGGTTCGTTTAAGTTTTTGTTCCTCTTGTTGAAATATATTGCTTCTTTACTCTTTAGATTGAATTCTTTTGTGTTACTTCTTGTTTAATTAGTGATCAGAATGATTGGTTAGTAAATGTGGTCTTCTTTTGGCAGAAGTATCCGCCTTCAACTGAATCGGCGCCTCTTAACATCATTTTTCCTTCTTGGTTTTACTGGGTAAATGCCAGCATATACTAATTGACTTTAGTTTGTTTACTTTTCTCTGTTCATTGAATCAATTAGATAACTTATGGATTTCTTGAATCAGGATATTTGCAAACCAGCTTTTATTTCTTCTTGGTCTAAGCTACACAAACCCAACTTATGCATCAGCTATTCAGCCTGCAATACCAGTCTTTACATTCATCTTGTCTGTAGTATTGGGGTAATTTGCTTTTGCTTTTGTTTTATTTTACTTAGTATCTACTTGACCTTATACTTGTCTATATATATTTTGATGTTTAATGGTTACAGCATTGAGACAATAGACTTGGGTGCAAGTGAAGGTCGCATGAAGGTTGTAGGGACACTTGTCTGTGTCTCTGGTGCAATACTAATGGTTCTTTACCAAGGTCCAGCTATAGTTGGATCCATTGTTTATGATATGTCTTATCATAATGCAGTAGGCATGAAGCCTCAGCCTGAACCAATTGGGTGGTTAACATCTGGTCCTCTTGGATTTGGGCTTGAGAAGTGGCACATCGGTGTCCTGTGCTTGATAGGGAACTGCTTCTGCATGGCTGCTTATTTTGTTTTACAGGTACTTGAAGAATCTTATCAATCCTCACACTGGAATCCAGACACTAGGTTTTAGCATTTGTCATTAATAAGATGGGCAGTAAAGGAATTATAATGAACATACACAAGAGGCATCAATTTTTTCCTTAATGATTCATGAAAGTATTTCAAAAGATGCAAGGTTCAAGTTTTATGATTATGTTTTTTTCTTGAACTGAATAGCTCCTTGCTGATTTTAACTACTTTTCTTCACCTCTTTTAAATTTGCAAAAGAAGAAAATTCGAAGATGATCTAACTGAATTATACAGAAACTTGGAACACATAAGTGATATAAAACTGCAACTACTTGAGTTCAGCTTATTGGTTATTTGGCAGTCTTCTGTAGCAATGATAGTGATTTGTTTTCCCTTGCATCTTACAATTTATGTTTTTTTACATGTGGTGTTTTTTTGTTTGCTTTGTTATCTCTTTCAGGCTCCAGTGTTGAGAAAATATCCTGCCAGTTTGTCTTTGACAGCGTACTCTTACTTCTTTGGGGCTTTATTGATGGTATTGGCTGGGATATTTAATACCAGTGATTATACAGAATGGATGTTGACCCCACCGGAGATAATTGCTGTCTTATATGCTGTAAGCCACACTTTCTGATTTTGTCTGTGTAAAAGCTTTCCAATCTTGGCTTATCAAGTATTTCTTGCTTGCTCTGATTTTCAGCAATTGCTCATTTCATGCACCTACAACTGACTCGTTATGTTCTTGATGCGTCAACCTTTTCCACAAGTATACCTTTAAAGATTTTATATTCCTGGTAGAAATCAATTTAGTTCCATGGTGAGGCCAATTGAAGCTTAGATAATTTAATTATAAAATTTTGGTTGAAATGTTTTTCCTGTTTCCATTTGATATATTATTTCCAGACTCTTAAAGTTCGAAGAGAAGCCCAAGAAAAGGTATGACGGGAGACGAGGAGCGAAGAAGAGAGTAGGCATTCTAGCAATTTTCTTTATCCCTCGTTTAGCAGCATCATGTGTTGGTATGACGGGAAAATTTGAAATTCCAATCATATTGACACAGTCTGCCGATCAGCTGAAACCTAGTGTAGACTGACACTGGCAATCCTGATAAGGACAATTTAGCAATCTCTCCAAATTATTTAGGTGCTCGTAAGTCCCATTTCTAATCTAGTGCTATTGTATAGCCTATTACATTATTCAGCTTTTCTAGCATTAAAACTTGGCAATTATATATCATGTTCTTCCATTAAGATCAGTGATTTAAAAAGGCGCAGCGCTCGCCTAGGCGCTCGGGCGAGGCGAGACGAGGCCAGAGCGCCTCGCTTCACTTCCGGGCGACGCGCTTCAACGAGGCCCGAGCCCAAGCGCTGGGCGCTTCGGGCGAGCGCCTGGGTTAAACCAGGCGACCGAACCAGGATTTTAGGCCTGGTTCGGTCTTGGTGCTTTAGTTGGTTTAATCGAACCAACTATAACCGATATCAGCTGTCGTTGCCCAACCCTAACCCTGCTCATTGTTGCTGCCGCTCTTGCTCCCGTTGCTCGCCGTTGTCGTTGCTCGCTACCGTTACCGCTGTCGCCGCTCGCCGCTCCTGCTGCCGCTGTCGCTGCTCGCCGCTCCCGCTGCTCGCCGCCGCAGTTGTCGCCGCTCCCGCTGCCGCTTTCTCTTTTCTCAGTCAGCACCTCCTTACACTCCTCGTCCTTCTTCTCCTTCTGTATACTGTTAACAGTATACTAATAATAGTATTTGTATTTATTAGATTAATAATATATTATTTTGATTTTGTATCTTAGATTTTCTTAATTTAATAGCATATTTTTATTTAAAATTTTAAATAATTATATTTATTAATTATATTATATATTTTTCTATTTTAGAACCTCGTTTCGCTCGTGCGAGCGCCTAGCGCCTCGGGCGTTTTTGGACCTGCCTTTTGGCGCCTAGCACTTTTTAAATCACTGATTAAGATCATATCATCTTTTTGAAAATTGTTTATTTGAACATGCATAATCCTTTCCTCCAAACATGTTTAGACAACTTGAGGAAATCGAACCTGCAAAGGTATAATCACCAACTAAAATATTTGTTGGTGAACAAGTGTATTTAACATTGTCAACATTAGTTTTCAGTTCAGTTCCATCTCTGAAGGCATCTGCTAATCGTGCTTTCTTGGTTTGAATTTTGTAATATATTTTTGTAGGATTAGATTGGCTCACAACATTTAAGACCCTTGAATTTCGACTTTCATATTCCTAGTAGGGGTTTGATTCATGTCCTTGAGATTGATCTCTTCCAGGCCAGTAACTTTTTTCGTTCATGTACTCTTTTTCATGCAATAAAGGTCCAGCACTCTGTCTTCCCGTTCAAAGAGAATTTAGTAGTCAGCTTACCCCATCTTCATGGTCACATTTTGAGGAATAGTAAAAGTAGAAAGATGACACATGACGTTTGTATTTACCAGGTCTTTCTTCTAAGTGAAAGTAAATTGCCTGTTGTCTCTTCTCGTCTTCATGAAAACAATTGCACACTGATCTTTGTTTTTTACCAGTTCATGTCTCGTAGGTCAGTTTGTTGCTTGATCTTGTTATGTTTTATGTGGCACTTTGAACAAGCAACCACAATGTTCATGACTGAACCATTTTCTAATGGTGTTTGCTGCCAGTTATATCCAAAGCATTCAAACTATATTTTCCATACAACTTGTTAATAAAGCAAATTAACTCACTTTTTTTTTCAGGGAATTGTTGCATCTGCTATCAACTATGGGATAATGACATGGTCCAATAAAATTCTAGGACCTTCAATGATATCCCTATACAATCCTCTTCAGCCGGCATCATCCACTTTATTGTCAATGATTTTCCTTGGAAGCGCCATTTATCTTGGAAGGTTCTGTTCCAGTCTATATTCCTAACATAATGTCTTGCTTTCTTTTACTCTATCATCTTCTCAGCTTTGTTAATGTGCATTTGTTCAAAATTTTGTTCACTCAAAAGTATCATTTTTTGGTTGTTTAGTATGGTTGCTTGTGATTTCTGCATCAACTACAACATCATTGCCTTCTTGATGCATCCATGCTAAAATATATATGGACCTTTTATATGGAAATTTGATATATTAGTTATTATCATTTGTGCTAAGTAGCATAAAGTGGTTGCTCAAGGTATGCCCGTGGAGGATTTTATTTGGAAATAAAGTTGGAGAGTCCACCTTTTTATATATTGTTTTCAATATATGATGATAAATCACCCATGCTGAAATTATATTTTGGACTTTTAACAAAATCTCATATGTCACATGTTGTCATTTGTGCCGTACAGCATCGTCGGGGGGATTTTGATCATTATTGGCTTATACTTGGTCACTTGGGCTCGCTATAAGGAGACGGAATCAGAGTCTGGGTTCATTTGTGGGCATCATGACTCTGCATCTCTTGAAGATATATCGCTTATGAAGAAACAGGATGCTTCTTCGAGCTCCTCTGCGATTCCCTAGGCTAAGTGTTGCCTCATGCACCGTGATAAGTTTTCCCTTTTAGTTTATTGTGTTGTTTTTTTCCAGGTTATTAAGATAGAAAAAAATCTAGATGCAAGAGTTTTTTATATATAAAAAATATATGCTCGAGGCAAAAGAAATTGTGGCTACTGTTCTTTTATTGTTTACATTTCCATGAGAAAGAAATACAAATTATCATCATAATCATCAGAGTGTTTGTACAAGTGAAGCTGAACCAGATGCTTTGTAATTACAAATTATCTCTTTGGAAGAACATTCAATCACTAAATCCGAAACTTATATTTATGATATTTGCAAGCGGAAGTACAGGGACAACCAATAGAAGCTGAAGCAAAACCCTCATGATTGCAGGTCCTCTTTCTCTGAACTTTGTTTTGTTTCTTCAAGTTGTTTTATGTAGCCGATAACCTATATATATTGATGGAATTTTTTGTTTCTGTGATAGGAGCAATAGCAAGGAGTTCACAGTGCCACGAAATTGGTGCCATCTATACTCACAAAAAATTTCTACTTATTATTTTCATCTGAGAATAATTAAATTTAGTTTCAATAGTGCATAAAACGAACAAAAAATCATATAAAATGGTGTGAATATGTTTATTGAAAATGCTGTGATTCAATCAAGATTGGTGATGTAAAAAGTGGTGGAGAAACAACCAAAAAAGTTTCATTAATATGATTGTTATATAGCTCAATGGTGATTCGATCTGCCTATAATGTTGTACTAAATATTTAAGTTGCTTATTAGAAACTGATGTGACAGGGATTATAGCTCAGAGCCACTGCTCATGCAGGCTAATTCATGAATGCTTGAAGTAAATTATGAGTAGAATGGTTCCTCTTAATCCTTACCTTTATCTTGCTTTTCTTTTCTAGGGATGGCAATAAATGCATCCACAGGACCATGATATAAAAATTCAAGTATAGTTTTTGCCTTCGTTAAATTACCAGCGAATTTCTTTTTATTCTGAAAAATGTCAGGTAATGGTTCACTGCGATGAGCTTCTCTCCTTGCTTGCCTAGATAATATTTAATGCTTCTTAGAGAGTCTCACACACACTATCATCCTTTATGGATTAATGCTGGTTCCGATGGATTAAATGTATTTTGGTACGCATTGCTTTTTGCATTATATTTTTCTTTCCATTTCATGTTACCCTTTTTTTGGTTCGATCATGTTAGTATGTCAATTTTAGGTGCAATACTAATTCTTGTGGCCTGTCATGAGGCACGTATGCATTGGGATCTGATCCTAAACTCGACTTGTTGGGTTTTTCACTGAGATGTGACACCATTAAATGCCCTGCGACATAACATGTTGATATTTCATGCCTCTTTTGGTTTTTGTCAACACAGCTTGATAAGCACAAGGGATCAATCATGCCCTAGGACCATCTTCTTCTTCATTAGCACCACAATCTCTCATCTTTGAGAAGCTTCTTTCCACTTGCTCCCCCTTCCTTTCAAACTGTGAGATGTTGATGCACACACCTTACTTAATATTTTTAACTTCATGAAATTGTTATTTAGGTAGCCATTTCAAAAAGAAAGCCATCTCTGTTTTGTGTATTACAATGTTGATGTCAGATGCTCTATTTGGAGGTAAACATGATGGTTGAGTTGCCTGAGCTGCAATGGACTAACATGATAGTCAACTTATTTTCTTACAGAAGAAGCTCTTATGATAGTGTTTAAGGGGTGAAATTATTATCCAAATTAAACTTTCCTTTTCTAAATAGTAATCAGAACTGATGACAGATTCCGAGATCGAGAGGATTTTAGATGAAGCTCAGAAGTGTGTGGAGTACATTCAATCCAAGGAATGGAATCCCCTGTTGATACTTCCAGTAATTTTGATTCCACCACCTCACCTTTGACCTCTCTTGGGAGTGTGGGGGAGAATTATTATTTATGTTGGCCTATTATTGAGCATATGTATCAGATACTTGAGCTCTTCTCTCACTCCAGAACACGATCCTTAGCTTCTTCTTCTTCCTTAAGCCATTCCTCTCCTCCTGTAGGTGACCCTTCTGCTTTCACGCTTTCCTTTTTTCTCTGTCCCCTTCTCCGTCTTCACTCATCCCACAGTCGCTCATAGAAAACCTTACTACTTCCCACCACTCTTTTTCTCTAGTCTCCAAAGTTGATCCAGTACAGTTTAATTGCTTCTTTTGCAGCATCATCATGATCCTTGATTCTCATGCAGAGCTCGTCTTTGTTCAGTTATCTGAACACCATTGGTTTGGAATCTTACTCTTAGCTCGGAGCTCGTTGCGGTTCTGAGCGCTGGGCGAAGAAGATGGGGTGGGCGTCCGAGCTTCTCGTGGTGATGTCATGGCTTTGCGTCGTGGGATGCGCGCGTGGGATCGGCGCCAACTGGGGGACGCAGGCGAGCCACCCGCTGCCGCCGAGCACGGTGGTGCAGCTGCTCAAGGACAACGGAATCCAGAAGGCGAAGCTGTTCGACGCCGACGACCGCGTGCTGAGCGCCCTCGCCAACAGTGGGATTCAGGTGATGGTCGGGATCCCCAACGATATGCTCGCCTCCCTCGCCTCCGACCACAAGGCGGCGGAGCGGTGGGTGGCGAAGAACGTCTCGGATTACGTTCATGATGGAGTTGATATCAGGTCGATCATGACATGATCCAAAGCTCTTCCTTGGTTAGCTTTCGTTGACGGTCTCTTCCTCTCGGCTTCATGCATCAGGTTTGTTGCCGTCGGCAACGAGCCGTTCTTGGAGACCTACAACGGGAGCTTTCTGCAGACGACGTATCCGGCGCTGCAAAACATCCAAGCGGCTCTCGACGCGGCTGGGCTGAGCAACCAGGTCAAGACCACCGTCCCCCTCAATGCCGACGTCTACCGATCGGTGACCGGCAAGCCCTCCGATGGTGACTTCCGCTCCAACATACATGACCTCATGCTGTCCATCGTCAAGTTCCTCAGCGACAATGGCGCTCCCTTCACCGCCAACATCTACCCCTTCATCAGCCTCTACGAGGACCCCAACTTCCCCGTGGACTACGCCTTCTTCGACGGCTACTCCTCCCCCATCGTCGACGGCTCGTTCACCTACACCAACGTGTTCGACGCCAACCATGACACCCTCGTGGCGGCGCTGCAGAGGAACGGCTTCGGGAACGTCTCCATCATCGTGGGCGAAATCGGGTGGCCGACGGACGGGAACATGAACGCGAACCAGCAGCTCGCGCAGCGGTTCAACCAGGGCTTCATGAACCATGTCTCGAGCGGCAACGGCACGCCGCTGAGACCCGGGCCGATCGACGCGTACCTCTTCAGCTTGGTCGACGAGGACGAGAAGAGCATCCAGCCGGGGAACTTCGAGAGGCACTGGGGCGTGTTCGCCTACGACGGCAGCCCAAAGTACGAGCTCGATCTCCGCAGCACAACAGAAGCGGCGGCAGCGGCGGCGGTGGCGAATTCCAGTTCACTCGTCGGGGCGAAGAACATCAAGTACTTGGAGAGGAAGTGGTGCGTGCTGAAGCCTTCGGTGAGCCTCGACGACGCCGAGATCGCGCCGAGCGTCAGCTACGCTTGCGAGAACGCAGACTGCTCCAGCCTCGGATACAAGACGGCGTGCAGCGATCTGGACGCGCAGGGAAACATCTCGTATGCGTTCAACAGCTACTACCAGAAGAACGACCAGGACAACAGGGCCTGCGGGTTCTCGGGCTTGGCGACCGTCACCGAGAAGGATCCATCGACCTCTACCTGCAAATTCGACATCATGATCGATGCTGAGGCTGCAGAATCCTGGAAAGCCCGAACACTCACACAGCTCAATTTGCTTTGGTGTATTGTTCTTCCGGTTATAGTGACGTTTGTGTGAGATGTGTATTGCTGTGCTGGCTTTTCTTGTATTTTAGCCGTGATTGTGATCTTGTGACAGAAGGTTTGATTTGAGTTACGAACACACTTTCTTTTTTGCGTAATTAAATGGTAGAACATGTTGGTTTGATCTCTCTGCGAGGACTGGTGATCATGCCATGATCAATGCTGAACAGAACAACAGCAAGACTGTATGTATTTAGGAAGTTCTTCAATGCCTACTTCTTCATTCCACAGGAAATGGTCGTCAGTGCAGAGAACTTATAACTGACAGAAGAAGCATATCTATCCTAGGATTAGGTCAGGCATGGAGCAGAACAAGAGAGATGATAATACAGAGTTCATGTAGCCATAAACTTCTTCCTGGGACGTAAGTAGTCTCCCCAGAGATACCTCCGAAGTCTCTGCATGGGTTTGTGGTTGTAGATCAGAGGTTGAGATGGTTCTTTCAGAAATGCAAATGCTGTGGCTATCACAAGCAACATTAGTAGAGGTGAAGTGATGGCGCAGGTTCTCATATTTAGCTCATAATAGGGTCTGAATCCATGATTAAGGCAACTGATCAGCTCTTGTAGGATGGGACATTACAGTTTGATCTCAGAAGAGAAGCTTTTGTGCAGCACTGTGTTGTGTCAAGTTTGGAGGATAACCTTCATTGAAGACAGTCACAGATTCTTAGTGCATAAGATGCTTTCTCTCTGATAATTAATTAACAATGAACTTATACCATGTTTCTTAGTGCATAAGATTCTTGTCATTTTCCTACAGTTGAAGCTGTGGTAGATGCAAATCATAATGACAATCATACAATTGAAGCATGACATGGTGACACTTCACCTCACTGAAACATTTTTAGGTGGTCTTAGAAAGACCTTCAAGAGCTGCAAGACAGAGATAAGAACCAGGGGAAAAGAGTTAATAGCAGAGCAGAGTTTCTTAGGGAGAAGAGAGATTTTTTTCTTTTAATATTGTTCTTATTGAGGGCAGTACAGAAGTTCTTGAGTGCTAACAATTAAGAAAATTTATCTTTTAATTGGTATCTTTTTTTCTCATGGAGATAGTTATTTATACTCATTTTTGTAATCAAGACTTCCAAATTTTACTCAGTTCAACTTTATGTAAAGTATAGTTTGGACTTTGGAATGCATTTGTCAACCAAGAGGAAAAAAACCAATTATGTGGGAGGCTACTTAAAGTTAATATACATATAGGACCTTTATTGGGAACATTCATGAGGATATGAAAGTTGAATAATCAACCTAGTATTCCTAATACTTTTCATTAGGAATACGTTCATTTGAATTGTTTTCATACCCATTTTCCTTGACTTTATTCCTAATATTTTTCAGAAAAACCCATTTTCATTAAGGATCTTTATTTCTAATACTTCTTGATTTAATACATATTAAAACATAATTTGATTGTTTGGCATAGAGGTTATGTAGAGTAAGTCTCACACAAACTTGATATTGGGAGATAAGCATGTTTGGTAAGGAATCCTATAAAAAAAAATTAGGCGGGAGTGTTTCTGACAAGGTCTCTCCGATACTTAAATCAATATGAGATTCAGATAATTCAATCAAGTGTCAAATACGAAAGATGTAGTTTAACAAAGAGGGAGAGCCCCCTTAATAATATACCGAGGGATCTTCTATAATGTGATATTTGATCATTAGGTTGAGATCGTGAATAATACCCAAAACGGTTATGCGCTTCATCCGACCACATATTCTATCATATAGCACGAAATCTGAGAAACATGAGATAATGATCGACTATCAATTTTCATAGGGTTGAGTCATCTAACATTAAGGTGTCACTCACATAGTTATGAGGTGTTGGCTTGTTTGATGTCAATCATATGATACTAAGGTGTTTGGAACATGGCGTTTAGATGTCGATAGTCCTTACTCATCATTCCCATCTCACTTGCCTTCTATTGTGCCTTAACAAGTAGGATTTGGGCATGATAAGACTTTTTTGCTTAACTATTGACCTAAAAAAAATAGTTCAACAATCTTATCGTCAAAAGAAGCGCTTTGGCTATTTCACCCATGCTGTCACTAAAAGGGGCACCACTGACTATTTCGAACATGTCATCGAATAGTGTACTTTGGACTATTTCAATTGTGATTCGTCGAAGAGAGCACTTGCTAGTCATAGGTGCTCTACAATCCAATCACGTGAGTAATAACACGTGTGACATAATGTATATTCTTTTTACTTATTATATCTTAGTATTTTATCACTTTATATTGCTTGTTGCATATATGCATATATATTGTGATGTCAATGGATCTGTGCAATAGAAATTAGATTGTGATGAGATCATGATAATGAGACTAATTCACCTTTAAACACAAACCCTAAATAATCCTGGTCATAGATTACTCAAAAGGGATATCGAGATAACCGGACAGACTAGTATACTGTATACTTGTCCATATGATGTAGGCAACTAGTCTCATAGCTGCTCGTGTAGAGACACTATGGCTACAGTGCAGGTCCTCATTAAAGAATGAGTTCACTAATTGATCCACTCATGGAATGCTGGATGGTTAATGATACTTCATTGTCAGACAACGATTCTGTTATCCCAATGGTGTACTTGGTCCTTAGACTTGAGATACCAATGATGTCATGTATGAGTACTCTATTCTTTGATACTAGACTTATAAGTTTGATAGTTTCAGATCTAGCATAGCCAATCATCGGTAGTGGTAGCCAACCTTATGAGAACTATTGAGTATCGATAGAGGATCGTCCACTCTTGATATCATGAGAGGAATATTACATGTGTTCTTACTCAAATAAATCCCTGGTCAGGGTTATTCAGATTGAGAGAGAAAGAGTTCTCCAAGAGAATCTAATTAGAGCGAGACTCGAGTAGAAACCGTATGGGTCTGACAACACCATACATAGTGTACAGTCTCTAGGATATTGGATGGATGTGAGATTATAGATATATAGTAACTGAGGATAAATAGGTCCAAAGAATTGGATTCCCCTTATCGTCTAGGGACTACAACGTAGTAGCCTAGTACGTCCATAGTCGATGAGTCGAGTAAATTATTATGGAGATAATAATTCACTGAACCAGACGGAGTTCTGACAGACATAACTCACGACCAGCTTAATATTGGGCCTAGAGGGTTACATATATATGGTAGGCGTTATGACGAGTAGAAGTTCGAATATGAGATATCCGTCGGAGCCCCTATCTTATAGGATATCCAATAAGTTCTTGAATTATTGGATCCTATGGATGAGATCTAATAAGTACCAATAAGAGATTATTGGATAGAGATCCACTAATCTAAGAGGCTTGAGTAGTTGGATGGATAACCAATACCCAATAGGGCAGGATCCATTAAGGTTAAGTTGATAGGGGGCCTTTATAAATAAGAGGGAACTAAACACCAATAGGCTAGAGGTTTCTTGGTTCCCACCTCCTATTCTCCTCTCCCCTTCTCCTCCTTAAATAGCAGGTGTGGAGTTTTAGGCAGTGATTGGAGGAGCGTTGTCGTAGTTCTGTTGTGTGGATTACCGTTAGAGAGGATGACACTTGACCTCCTTTATCCTCTCCTACAGATCTATAGAGATTTAAGGATGTATGATCTCCCTAAATAAAACATAATTTTTCATATATGTAGTTTTCAATTTTACGAATTTTATGTACAAATCTTCGCACGATGATGAATACATCATTAGGAAATCTAGGGATTTTTATTTTTTGTTCTTCCGCTGTGCATATAATGTCGCCCCTAGACTTCCCTACAGCACTTTGGGTTATTTCAGCTATGCTCTTTTCAAGGGGAGCACTTTGGATCGTTTTGATCGTTCTATCACTGAAGGGGGCATTTTGCATCATTTTGATCGTATTTTCATCGAAAGAAACACTTTATGTTGTTTGATTGCACTTCCATCGAAGGGAGTATTTTGGGCCGTATGGATCGTATTATTGTTGAATAGAGTGTTTTGGGTTGTTTCGACTATATTGTCATTGAACAGAGCACTTTTGACCATTTTTGGGCTGCATTATTATCGAAAGGAGTGTTTTGGCTTATTCATCCATGCTATCATCAAAGAACACTTTGAGCCATTTCGATCATGCTATCATCGAAAGGAGCAATTTGTTATCTTTTTGACTGCACTATCATTGAATGGAGTACTTTGAGCTATTTTCAAACATGCTATCATTGAAGGGAGTACTTTGGGTTATTTCAGTCATGCTATTGTTGAAGTGATCCTTTGGATCGATTTGACTACACTATCATCAAAGGAGCAATTTAGGCCATTTTGATTACGACGATAGTGATCCTCTGTCATCGATGAATATTTTTAGACTAAATTTAGTTGCATTATTGCATGATGCTTCTTAGTCAGATTTGATTGTATTGTCTTCATGAGACGTCTTATGGTCGAGTTCAGTCACATCATTGTAGAAGGATTTATCTCTACAATTTTAACCAATTCGATCAGGGACGATTCATGGTTGGACTTAGCTGCATCATTATCAAAAATTATCTCTTCAAGTGGTTTGGCCATTTTGGTGTTGAGAGCTATCTTTTTGAGCGGTTTCAACATTGTTCGGTATTCACCTCTTAGCCAATTTGACTATGTTGGTGTTAGTAAACTCCTCTTCCAAGGGTTTAACCATGTTAATGTTGGGAGCTATCTCTTTATGTAATTGGACTATATTAGTGTTGGAGTTATATCATGAGGGGGTTTGACCATATTAATATCGGGAGCCAGAAATCATCTCTATAGGATTTGGTTTATTATTGTTACTCAATTATGTTAACTACCGCTTTATTCCATCAAAGGATAGTAAAATGCTGCTCAACCCCAAATGTAACTCACAGCTTATGACATTATTTCGTTAGGCTTGTTAGATGATGCTAGAAAGAGGTCAATTTTTGTCATTTCAGTCAGCTTTTGAATGGCACCACGTTGCACCAAATCATGAGGCACAAAAGGAAAGGATGGCCACTGGAAGCAACAGAATTGGCCTCTTTTAAGGCAATTAATTGTCGAAGGATCTCATCTTGAGAGTTGCTTCTATTAATGATTTCCACTTCACACTCATGTGTTTCATGCACAAAATAATCTAGCAGAAAGCTCCCATGTGTGTTCAAAGAATCAGATTTATATATACACTCATGGTTAAACTTCTGAATCCAGCTTGATTATTTTCAGAGGCAAAAGCAACATGGTCTTGTCACCTAAAGATGCAGCTGAAGGCATCCATGTCTTGAAATGAGCCATACATTTCTTTCTTGTTGTGTCATTGATTTATGAAGGAAGGAAAGGCTGCTGCTGTCCCCTTTAATCTGAGATTTGGTGCCTATATTTATTAAAATGTTAATCTGTCACGACTCGAGTTTGATGGACTAACTAGTCTATCAACTTAGTTTGGTCTAAACCATTGACTAAAATGTTTAAGCTGAAATTGATCATAGTACACTCATCAAACCCTTATAAGTCAATCTTAATCTTGTCCACTTTCGATGTGGGACTAATCAAGGGTGTTACAATCACCCCCACTCAAAGGTTTGACGTCCTCGTCAAAGCCCAACATAATCCAGATCAGGTCATAGTATAGTGCATGTGAGGCATAGCTCAGTGGTGACTCCATGTTATGATGAGTCCTCTGATTCTGTCTATGGATAACCTTTTCCTACTCGAGTCTTCTCACCGTACCCAAATATTAGGTCGGCTCTGATATAATTGTTCCTCTGATTGCAAAACCAGAGCAAATGAATTGGCAAGGAAAATTATATGCCTTTTTCGTTTTCTATTTTCTGAATTCTTGGGAAAATGGATCAACTTCCAACTTTTAGTACTGAGGTTGTCAATTCACTAAATGGAATATTACTTAGAGATGCAGCATGGGTTTTGTTGGAGTAAACAGTTTGATCTGTATGTAGCTATACATATATAT